CAGAGAGGACGGCCAGGAACAGAATTCAGAAAAACAGTAACCTCCCGGGCAGGCAGAAGAAGGAAGCCTCAGCCAGAGCTGGAGAAGGCCTAGTCAGAAAAAGATGACGATGGAGATGGCATCACCACAGTCCAGAGAGGGAAGTTTGAAAGGCCAATGCGGCCGACAGTGTTAGCCGCCGCTGAATGGTCAAGAAAGACCAGGAGGGAGGAAAGGATTAGTGGTGAATGACCTTCAAGAGTCCTTCTGAGTGCAACCCATGTTAAGAAATCATTTTCACATCACAATCAGCGGGGAATTAGGTTCTTGCTCCCAATTTTCCACACCCTGTGTGGGAGTTAGATATCCCCATCCTTTGCCATGCGACTTTGCAGAACCTATTACTGCTGTTGGGTTTTGACATGTGATGTGCTTTGGCCAATAACATGTTAACAGACTTGTGGTTTCACATGTATGTGCTTGCGTGATCTGGCTTGATCTCGTGTGCTCCTGCTACTACACGAGAGCATGCTCTAGGACCAGCCGGTTAGACCCAAAACCGTCCTACAGCCTACAACCACGCGCAGCTGAACTTAGCTAGATCCAACCAAGATGAGCTGAACCTTACCGACCTTCAGATCTATGAGGGAGAAAAACAAATTGTTGTTGTGACTCAGACTTGTTGTGACTGTTATTATGCAGGATCACCACCCAGTAGCTGACTAATAACATAACCCAGTATACACAAACGTCTATCAAATATTACAAACAAGATCTTGTAAAAGATGGTTTCTATCACGTTCCGTATTTTTAAAAAGCTAATTGTAGCCCGCAGCTTGGAAACACTGCTCCGGAGCCCAGCCGTGTTGCTCAGTTGCTTGAGTGTCATCGTCCCAGGCACCAAGAAGTCACTGGTTTGATTCCGGATCAGGGGACATGCCCGGTTTCCAGTCTGCAAGCTCGATTCCCAGTCGGGGGTGTGCAGGAGCCAGCTGATCAATGTTTCTATCTCTCTCCCTCTCCCTCCCTTTCTCTAAAATCAATAAAAACATAGGTGTTTTTTTTTAAAGGACCATGGATCAGAATTCATGTTTTACCAAAACAAACAAACAACAAAAAAACCACAACACTGCTCTAGAGAAATTGTCCTTGGGGTTTTTTTTTCCATTCCAACACATCTGTGGGATGCAACGCACTGTATATCAATAAGTGGCTCAATTACCAGCTGTGTGACCTGGGCAAACTATCTGGCCTCCCTGAGCATTTTCTAATCTGTGAAATGGGGACAGTAACATCGGGCTAACAAAGCAGTCACAGAGATTACGTGAGATAATGCATGTTAAGTGCTTAGCAAAGTGACTGGTACAGAGCAAGTATTCAATAAATATTAGCTGTTATTCTCATGACTGAGAAGTATGGTGAGGAACAGAATGAACTAGAGCAATTTCAGAGTTAAGGACTCATTTCTTTAGGATCGGGCACAGGCTGAAGCCACTGGAATAAGGAAGAAAATAACTGATGACACGGGTCTATGTAAAGAAGAGGCAGGATCGAATCAGCTGAGGGCTCTGGAGCTTTGGGCATCGAGCATCATCTTTGCTCAATACTCTCCACTCCATCTCCCTCCTAAAGTCTTAAAGGTATTCAGAGACTTGAATCTGTCATTAACTACTCTTCCACACCTACTCTAACTTGTCCGTCCTCACTCTTCCACCCTCCCCACCTAAGCATGAGTGCTAGGCCAGCCAGCAGAGAACAAGTGGTTGGCAGTCGGAGGATCCCATGGACAAGAGGTGGTCTTGCCTCCTAAGCCCACATTCTTTTTTAAAAAATATGTATTTTATTGATTTTTTACAGAGAGGAAGGGAGAGGGATAGTTAGAAACATCGATGAGAGAGAAACATCGCCAGCTGCCTCCTGCACACTCCCCACTGGGGATGTGCCCGCAACCAAGGTCCATGCCCTTGACTGGAATTGAACCCGGGACCCTTCAGTCCACAGGCCGACGTTCTATCCACTGAGCCAAACCGGTCAGGGCCTAAGCCCACATTCTTAATTGCTCCCCAAAGATCAGCAAGAAGGACCAGTGTCTGCCAGTTATTCCCGTCCGAGCCTCACTAGACTCCATCAAAGGCACATGGCGCTGACAAGCAAGGGAAGATGGGACACGACTCAAGGGCAATGGCAGAGAACGAGCATCAGAAACAGGTTGTAAAAAAGGCTTCTTTATTGAGAACAGTGAGTGTAAAAAAACAACAACAAACACACAACAACAATAAAAGTGTGAGGCAGGGGTGGTCCCCGTCCCCATCTCCTCCAAGGCGCACCCCTCCCTCCCATGCCCACCCACCCTACGCTGCGAGTACGGTACATACAAAAGCCGCCCGTGGTGCATACAAAAAGGGCGGGTTATATAATGTCAAAAGCTCCTGAAACTCCTTCATCTGCCAGGCACTTAGGATGAGGAAAGGAGAGAAGGGTGGGGAGGAGACACAGGTCAGGGTCAGCGTGCACAAGTCCATGTGGGGAGGACGCACTGGCTGTGTCCTCCCCGATTCTGGCGCAGACCCCGAGGTGATAAAATATTCTGCCCCGTGGGCCAGCACTACCCAGGAATTTGAGTATATTAAGGAACGCCCCTCCAACCCGGCTCATCTGCAGCCTCGCCTGCCCTGGGCAAAGTTAGCAGGTGAGGGGCGGAACTGCACCTGGCCAAGGGGCGGAGACCTAGGCCAGAAATTGGTGTTACCTGAGGCACCTACACTGCCCCTGATGGGGGGAGGGGTGGCAGAAAAAGCTGCCCAGCCCAAGGTCCTAGTCACCAGTCCGGGTCCGAGTCAACCCCCCCAAGGGCTGAGGGTAAGAGAGAGGAGGGAATCGCAGGCCCAGCCCAAACCTCAGCAGTGCCTGTGGGGCCAGGGTGGGGCCCGGAGGGCCGAGGAGGACAGGGATCTTGCCCATCATGCTGCAGGCACCTGTCAGGAGGTCCTCCCGTGCCCACGCCAGCCTGAGGCACAGCCTGCCTGGGCTCCCTCCTCATGGCTTGCTGTCTGCGGGGCTGTCTCCCAGGGTGTTGGCAATCTCGCTGAAGGAGGGCCTGTCCTTGGGGCTGAGGGCCCAGCAGCGCTGCATCAGCCGGTAGAGCTTGGAAGGGCAGCCCTCAGGCTGTGGGAGTCTGGTCTTCCCAGCCTGCAAGTCTGCAGGAAAATCAGAGTTAGGCAAACTTTTAACCTCCTGTCCAACACTCTGTGGAGCCGGCAGTACCCACAAGCAGCCACTGGAGGGCGACCTGGGGTGGGGGCCACTGGCCAGTGGCTGGTGGGCACTGATTCAAGGAGTACAGGGGAAGTATCTTGCAACCAAAGGGGTGACTCCCCTGGCCCCAGCTCTGCCGGGCTGGTGGGTCAGGGTCCACACAGCACAGGAGGCAACCAGTGCATGGGGGCAGGTGTCAGTGGCTGGAGTGGTCACTGTGGGCGAGGGCTGTTACCAACCAACGTGAAGGTATTTCAACACCAGGAGTGGCCCTGTCTGTGTACCTGCTATGACCAGCCCTGAGGGGAGGCAGGCTGAGCTGCCCCCAGGATCCTGAGCAAACTCTCCACCTGGAAAAACCTGTGGAATGGTCCCTTGGAAACACAGCTGCCTACCTGCTAGCACCTCGTCGTCGGCCTGCCCGCCATGGGGCATCTCTCCATGGGTGAACACTTCCCACATCAGCACACCAAAGGCCCAGACATCAGACTTGGTGGAGAAGTCGCCCTCCAGGATGGCCTCGGGGGACATCCAGCGCAGAGGCACCCACGCCTGGCGGAAGTGGTAGTACTCACTGCAGAAGAAAACCACACGTGGGGTGGGGGCGGGGCCTCCGTGGCTCACAGAGGCGGGTGGGTTGTGGTGAGGGACCACAGATCCCTCATCCCAGGTCTGAGTCTCATACGAGCGCTAGAACCCAACTTTTCTACCTCAAGGCACTCAAGAGAAACTGGTAACATAGGGGTACACGGAATGAAATCTGGGGGCGTCCACATGGGGTTGATGGTTAAAAATTCCTCTAAGAACCAAATTTTGCCTACATTGTAATATAAAAATAAAAAGCTAATAATCATACATACTTTTGGCACTGGTTTTAAAACCGTGAAAAAGGAGAACATGTTAAGTGGAAAGAACATTTAAAAAGCTTTAGTAATACAACAATCATGACTAAATCATGACTGACGTATGACTGAGCGCTGGGGTGACTGGAGGGGGAGTTCCCAGCGCCCCCAGGCGCTCTGCAGTGTGGATGGGCGTCCCAGAGCATCTCTGGCCCTGGCGCCGAGCTTCAAGTCTTAGGATTCAAAACAGTAATTAGTGAATTCAGGAAGGTACAGAGGGAACCATACAAATAGTTAAGTTACATACAAACTGTTATAAAACCTACTAGTTATTTTTTAAAGGTTTGTAATATTTTATCACTAGAGAAAAACCTATGAGCGACAGGGACCTGTGTCCCAATGGCTAGGACGCCTGCTGCACCCTTGGAGAGAGGATAGGAAGCCCCTGTCCCTTCCTGGGCTCTCCGTTTTAGACTAAGCAGCCCTTCCCCACACCTCCCACACCTTCCCTCTACCCCTCACCCCACCCACCCACGTCCTTCTACCTGTTGTACACGTCCTTGCTGAGCCCCAGGGCCGACACCTTCACCTGTCTCTGGGCGCTGACCAGGCAGTTCCGAGCGGCCAGGTCCTTGTGCACAAAGCGGTTGTTGGACAGGTGCTCCATGCCCAGGGCCACCTGGGTGCACAGGGCCACCTGGAGCAAGAAAGGGACTCACTCATCAAAGCACCCACGTCTCGGGGATCCAAGTGACCGCCCCCCACACAACCCTTGGTGGGTCTCCATGCCATCGGTGTGCTCAGGAAGCCCAAGGCAAAGCCACAACCGCTTAGCTTCCTTCTCTGTTGAGCGGGGATAACAGTGCCTGCCTCGCTGGGCTGCTGGAAGAACAGAACCAGATGAAATTGAGCTCTGGGACCACCTGGACACGCAGCAGGTGCTGGACAGGCGAGCGGCACGTGGGTGGGGAGAGCACATAGTAACCACGTGAGAAAAATACCCGTCAGTGATCATGGCTCACATCCTAACGGGTTGTTCCTTTTCCTTTTTACTTCAAAACTACGTATTTTCTACTAGTTGTATATACAAAACAAAACAAACAAAAGGGGTGTGTGTGTGTGTATATATATATATACACACACACACACAAAACATACACAAAACACATATGCCTCCAAGGCGGGGAGCTGGGGACTAGAGAGAAGAAAGGTAGAAAAACTTTTTGATTTGTATCTTTTAAGTGGTAAACTATATCTAGAAAAGCTCATCAAATATATGTGCACTTCCACAAATAATTATAAAGCTCAGACCCAGGTAACAATCACTAAGTGAAAAACACAAACCAACAATGCTAGCACCCCAGAGCATACACACTCTGTATGCTTCCAGCCTTATCTAGTTCCAAAACGGGGAAACGGAATTCTATTGTTTAGGAACGTTGTGTGTAAAGGTAAAACCAGAAAGAACAGCCAAGAAATTAGGACCGTAACGGCAGGACAGTGGTTACCTCTGGAGGGGAGGGAGAGAGCATGATGAGGAAGGAGCCCTTAGGTTTTACCATTACACACACATTCCTAAGCAATATCATTCAGTTTTCCCGTTTTGGAACCAGATAAGGCTGGAAGCATACAAAGTGTGTATGTTTTTTTTGTCTGATTTGTTCACTCAGCATTGTGAGATTCATCCTTTGGGATGTGGTGCAGGGACTATTTTACTGCGTTTTCATCCTTGAATATACTATATTTAATCATTTTAATGCCAATGGATATTTGGATTTTTTCCCCAGCTTTGTGCTATTAAGAACAGTGCTCCTATTACCGTTCTTATGGGTGCGCACACACATGAATTTCTTTAAGATATCTAGGTATGAGTCAAGGACTATGAGAAGCTCTACAAAATAAGAAAAAACTCTTTCCAAAGGGCAGGAGTTAAAAATATATTTCACTAATTCCCTTTTAAAATTGTTGAGCCATGTGACTGTATTATATAGAACTAGTGCCCCGGTGCACGGATTCATGCACATTGAAAGGAAATTAATTAGAAGGTGGCCGGTGGGGCAGGACTGGGCTAGACGGGCCAGACACGCCCTGGAGCCAACCTCTGGCTGACCATACCTGGGGTGGCACCGCAGCTCGAAGGTGGTCTGCGGAGTGAGCAGGGACCCTCCGCAGGTGGGGTCCCTTGGCCTGGCCTGCGGGGATCGGGCTGAAACTGGCTCTCCAACATCCCCTGAGGGGTCCCAGATTGCAAGATAGTGGTTCTCAGGTGACGCACCCCCGAAATCGAGCTCCCTCCTCTCCAGTTCCGGGTACGTAACCCGAGAACCTCTGCTGCCAAGTCACCGCAGCTCAGCAGCTCCTGTGTTGAGCGTCTGCCCCCTGGGGGTCAGTGTGCATCATACCTACCAGCTGGTAAGATGGTCGCTTAGCCTTTTATACTAGTGGCCCGGTGCATGAAATTCGTGCACAGGAGCGGGGGGAGGGGTGGGAGGAGGGCTGTCCCTCAGCCCAGCCTGCACCCTCCCCAATCTGGGATCCCTCTCACAATCCGGGACCACTGGCTCCTAAACCGCTCACCTGCCTGCCTGCCTAATC